ACAGAATTTGACTGGGTCACCTGGCAAACAATTTAGGTTTATTTTTTGCTTAAAGACAGAGACGAGTCATCCCAGTCAAAATAGCTCCTCCCTACTTTAGAAAGCAAGAGCATGCATGAGGGAGAGAGGAAAGCAGCTCTTATACAAAAGCAATCAATGGGAAAGATCCTTCAGACCTTACTGCACAGTCACAAAATATTAATTTCTCTAAATGGTACCATCGGTTTACACTAACTCATCTTCCAATCTGTCAGAAAGAATGGGATTACCAGAAATTTATAGACAGTACATTTCAATCTTGAACAGATTAAATAATCAATAAAGAGCAAGCAGCATCCTTTTCTTGCTCAATAGGGAACATCTACAAGAAACCCCAAAAAGGAGAAAAAAACCCCCATATGGTCAGATTCCATCCTGATGCATACAAGAAGAAACACACTGCTCAGGCACAATGGAACCTATACAGTTATTGGAAGCCACATAACCAGGGCACTAAAATTCTTACACCGTGCTAGGGCATAACCCAGAATGAAAATATTTCCTGCTATCGCAAGGGAAAAACACGGTACCATCACCCAGCAAGCCAGATAAGGAAACAAGAGAGCCAACAACGTTCTAGTTTTCAACTTGTGAGAACCTAAAATACTCCACAATGAAAGGCAAATCTTGAAAAAGCCTTTGCCAAATTGATAAGTACTGATTTCATAATGAAAATGCCACAATACCCCAACAAGTAACCCACATACGAAAAAAGGCTATCACACAACACACTACTATAGTGCAGCAGCCTGACTTCTAGATAAGGTCCACAAAAAGAAGTTCCCTCAGGTCGCTTCTATTCCAGAGAAGTATACCCACATCCTTCTGTGAGCACAAGCTGCATGTCACAACAGAACAGAATACTTCATTTTGTCCACTGACACAGCGTTTCTGTACAGACTACTGTGACTTGGACACAGGGAAATAAAAAATAAAAAATCAACCCCCAAAGCAACCAAACACAAAATACCAAACTTTTAAGTATTAAACAACACTTACTTATAAAATAATTTTTATTCAAGAAAGCAGCATCTAATCCATGTATTGTACAGGCATCCCTCTATTCACAGTCTTAGATTCAGCTCGTTTCCACTGCAATGTCTTTCATGACCTTGAGCAACATAGTTGAATGCTCTGCCTCCCTTTCTCCAATTAGCAAGAATAAGGCCTGTTTCACAAGACTGTTGCACATAAGTAGCTGAAGTCAAAACCAGCTAAACAACAATAGAACAACAGTAACACCTCAAGAAAAAAAACCAAAAAAACCCACAAAATCAAAACACCAAACAAAACAGGCTGGAATACCCTTAAATAAGTACAAGTTATTGATGTTCCTCTGATAATGCCTCTGATGTATGCTCCTTCGCAGACAGGCAATCCAAACAGCTTCACAAAATATTCAAAGCTATTGCACATTTGCTGTTATATCAGACAGTTCAGAAATTCAGACTTTTCTGTATTTTTCCTTTCAGTATAAAATTAGGTGCTAGACAATTTTCATCTTACCTTCTTCTTTAAAGATTTACTGGAGGTAGGGGTTGGGGGGTGTGAGGAAGAGAGAATAATGTCTGCTTCTAGATTCCATATTTGTTGCTTAATTAAAGAGATAGCAAGCCTCCGAAAATTATGATGCAGTGCAGACCAGCATGATACTATTCACAGTATTTTAGGTGCCTTTATGTTGTAGAAAAACTGAATATAAACTAGTGTCTGAATGTGCTATTTTAATGTAATATAATACTATTACGGGGGGGGGGAAGGCAGACACAGAGGGAAGCCACTAAGAATTGTTCTTCAGCTGTCTCTCATCCTGCCTCAGCTGCCATCAACTTTAAAATGTTTACCTTTTCAGCTTCTGAAAATGTGACACAGGGTGCACAAGATACTTTCCTCTGCTATTAGGTCCTCCTCTTCTCCCGATAGATATAACTTCCAGTCTGAAAATCTCTCACTATCAAGAAAGACTATAAACCCTTCTATCCATACCCATAGCTCTGAGGCACTGTAATCAATAGTACAAGCAAAATGCTACAGTATCTAATTCACACATTATGTCTCGGGTACACCACTGGCAAAGAAGTAAAATACAGAATCTCAGACTAAGGACATTAATTTCAAATAATCTCTTACAGTTCTGGTCTAGTTGTGGTTTTTTAAATAAACTCCTTTCCAACAACACAGCCACAAGTCCTCTTTTAGGCTGTACTAATAGTAATAAAATTCAAAGGACAATTTACAAAAAGACTACTCAGTGAGGAAAAACATTACTGGGAGTAGACCACGAGCTCAAACCTTTCTGCTTGCAATTATTAAACTAAGGAGCCTGCTCCCCCACTTCTGGTCATTTAATCTTTAACTCTTATGCAAAGTGGTATGCCTTCAGGTATAGGAGTCAGGAATTCCCACTCACATATGCACAAACAGCCTGTAGGCCACTAAACAAACTCGGGTTGAGGGTTGGAGAAGTGGTATTTGAAGCTCTCCAAGCAAACCTTCCACTTAACAAGTGCTCTGATGACCCAGACGGATACGAGGAAGGCTGTAAAACCACTGCTGGCATTTTGAGCACCACAGCTGTTGTTTCATTCTTCACAAAACTTACTGCCAGTCACCAGGAATTATTTGAAACATCTGAAGGCTCATCCTGAGACAACACAGTGACAACTTCTTGTTTCTGACAAGGTGCAGCAAAATCAAATGCCCAGCTGCTCAGCCTCATTAATTATCAAGGTAACACTCAGAAGCAGAGATAAGATGGCCAAGAAACTTTAGAGCCAAAGATGATGTTATCTAAAGAGTAAGTGCCCATGATTAAGCAAGAGTTTAATTAAAACCATTAAAGCTGTTGCCATGTTAGGTATTTTTGCCTGAATTTTTTTGCAAATCTGAACAGGAAACTGAACAGAGCACCTGGGAAAGCATTTACTCCGAGGTAAATGACAGAAAGAGTCTACAAGTGATGGATCTGGGGCTCCTTTCAAGCATGGACAGCGATTACCACTCCTGCCCAGCATCTGATTCCAAAAGATTTTGGATTCAAAGGGAAGGCATTATTTTGAGATATAGCCAGATCTTTCTCACTACTTCAAACCTGATCCAAATCCTTACAGGCAGAAAATTATTATCTGCTAGTAACTAAGCAGCTTCTGTCAATCTACAGTAGTGACCATTGTTACGAAGCACCTAGAAGATTGTAGCATAAGCTGTGTGCTCCCTACACCTTCAAAAATATACTATACATTCTTGGTAATGAAGCGTAAACTATTAAAATCCTGGAATTAATTACAGTGAACTTGTACAAACTCAGCATTTCCTCCCCAGTAAAATTACTACAGTCTGTCTTGCTGGGGAAGACTCACACAGATTTATTTAAAATTCATCACCCAGCCAGTGAAAGAGGAAGTTTTCTGCCTTTTAATACATATCATCTTTTGAAGGACAAAGGCAGACTGAAGTATTCAGTGAGCCATGACAAAACATGCTGTTGACTATTTAGAACATGTTTTTATGCAATCTGTACTTTTCTACTGCTCCAGAAGTTGTTTTCTGTGGCATACACATTGGCTAGGTCTTTGTGGGAACAAGAAGAGTCTAAGCTCACAATCCATTTCCTGACCAATTACAAAATGTTCACAATCCATTTCCTGACTAATTACAAAATACAAACTGAAACACTAACCTTACTTTCAAAAGTGCTGGGAGCAGGGGGAGTCACCAATACAAACATTACCTCACCTCTTTTTTTTTTTTAAAATCTTGTTCTTGAAAACCTGTTTCTGGTCTCAATGTCAGCTTCAAAAAAATTTTAAATTTCAAGTAAAAAGTTCAGTTTACACAAAGGCACGAAAAGACCCAACTATCATGAAGGGAAGCATTAGACAAACTAGTCTGTTTCACTCCTTTTCTCCATGTACAGCATAGAGGATTGAACATTCTCAAAAAAGATTTTAAAAATACCAACAGTAAGATTTCATGTATTCATTTTTAATATTGGCTCTTTTTCCTTTAAGAGCAGATACATAGCATCTACTGTGTTCTGATCATACTTTCATTAATTGTCTGAATGAAGAAACAGAGCATGCTTACATGCTTATGAAACATGCAGATGACACAAAAGCTACACACATGCTGAAGGACAGGAACAAGACCATAATTATTTCAACATATTTA